ACTAACTGTTCAGTTCATGTTGGTACCAGTACCTCAGACTTACTCCTATTAAATGTTATTTAATGTAGATTTTAGATAAACTAGAAGAAGCATCTTAGTTATATGCAAATCTACACATGATCATAGAATCATTACTTATAGATGTTAGGAAACTATACTTTGATTATTTTAAAAGTTTTATTTCTGTAAAGTTTTAATTAAGACTGTTTCTTCCATTTATTTTTCCAGAAAAGATATCTATCCTGTATTTGCATAACACCATGTAAATTAACTCTTGAAGGTTTATTTGTTTACTGCATTGTCTACGCAGTAGATTAGAAACTCTGAAATCAATCCCTTTAGTGCTCTTGTTTGTGTTCAGGGCACTTGATAAAAAGTTAAGCAGTGACCACCTGTCCTGTAATTGTGGCTATGTCCATTTCTCCCAAGTTCTGTTCATTTCATTGTATACTTTTCAAAGCTTTGTGGATGTTTGTTTGTTTGTTTGTTTGTTTGTTTTGGAGGGTGTTTGTTCATTTGTTTTAGATGCTTGTCTGTTTTGGATTAATCCCGTGTTGTATTATGTCCCTCTTTAACTGTGATAAGTCTGTTTTGATGTCTGGTATGTCTGACAATATAGATATACTAGCTTTCATTTGTTTAGTGTGTATGTAGGTTGGTTAACAACCTTTACTTTACATATTTTTGAATGTTTTTCTGCCCTCCTAATGGTGTGCTGTCATCTCCCAGGTCTTAGAATGCCTGATGCTGAAAATTAAACGGTCCTTTTGCACTGTCACCACTGGGCTTGGTGGCACTTGCCTGTAATGCCAGGACTGAGTCCTCTGAGACAAGAGGATTGCCGGTTAAATCAGAGCCTGTGCTGCCTCAGAATCGATAAAGATAAAGTGCTTTTTTTTTTTTTTCTAAATTAAATGGAAAAGGAAAATACTTATACAGGAAGATGCTTAATAAGAGAGCACTGAATTAGAATCCAGACTTTCCAAGTTCCATTTGGTGACATTTAATTGTGACTTCTATAATCCAAGTATGAGTTACAAATAAAAGCCAAAACTATGATTTATGATTTCTCAGTTTATCAATCACCATGTTCTTAGCTCTGAAAAATATTCATAATCAGAGAGTCAGAGAAGCACACTGCCTGTCTGGGCTCTGCTTTTGTGCTGGCTGTTGTAACTTGTAAAGTGTTTGTGGTTCTGTGCCCTGTCACCTGTAGCTTCTGGTTGTGCACAGCATATATGCAGCATGCAGCTAGTGTCCTTATCCCCTGCAGAGTATTCTGGGCAGGTAGTTTTGTTTAAAACCCAGTGGATAAGGCAGTGCATTAATAAACACAAGACGCTGACTGTGTAAAAGAAATTCTTTGAGGCTGGGGGATGGCTGGTAGTAAAGTGATTGCCACACAAACATAAGGACCGGTATGTGTGTGTGTGTATGTGTTTATGTGTAGCTATATAATGTGTTCATGGGGAGGCCTGAGGTATGTGTTGGGAATCTCCCCCTATTCCTCTCTCCCTTACTCACTAAGGCAGGATCTCTCGCTTGACCCCAGAGCTGACCTGCATGGCTAGTGCAGGTAGTAGCCAGCACACATGTAAGAAGCCTGATGGAGGTGTTGGCTTGTAGTCCCAGTACTAGGGAGGTCAACACAGGGCATCCTAGGGCCTTGCTGGAGGTCTCGCCACAGTGGTTTGAATGAGATGTTTCCATAGTCTTGGGCGTTTGAATACTTGGTCCCCACTTGGTAGAGTTGTTTGGCTAGGTGTAGGAGGTTAGGGGATGCGGCCTTGCTGGAGAAAGTATGTTGCTAGGGGCAGGCTTTGAGTGTTCAGATGCATTTGCCTTTCTCTCTGATGCCATTGCACTCTCTGATTCCTGTGGGAGATGTGAGCTCTAGCCCCTCCAGTCACCAGGCCTGCCTGCTGCACACCTGCCATCATGGTGATAGGCCCTTTTCCTCTGAAAATGGAAACTCAGATAAACCCTTCTTTATATAAGTTCCCTTGTTCCTGCTTTTTTATAGACTAGCTAATGGGTGAGCACTGGACTCCAGTGAGAGAACTTCTCAGAAAACAAGGTGTACAACTCCAAGATTGACCTCAGTTCTCCACACTTCCATACATACATGTAGGCACACACATAAACACACATGCACAAGTGTTTTTTTATTTGCTAATTTGAAAATGAAATAATTGGGTCAAGTATCACCTCATACATACACTCTTCACAATAATTTTATTTTTTTCTCAGTAATTTTGAACAAAGTTTAGATGAATGTTTTTTAGACTGAATAGTTCTTATTGTTTATTGTTCTCATAGACTTAGAATTTTCTGTTCTGCTCTTTATACCATGACAGTAGTTGTGCTGCTGACTTAATTATAAGCTTGGAGTTTCTGACTTTGATGCCTTTAGCTCTCATCTGTTTAGCTGGCATAGTAAAACAAATAATCCCATAGTTTAGCTGTTTGGTTTGCTAACCGGATGATGCGAGTGACATGAGGCTGTAACATGTGAGTAACATAATGACTGTTATCATTAAGGCACCAGCCATGCTCTGCAATACAGTGTGAAGCCCAGAGGAGGTAGAATGCAGTCTGTAAGCCTTTGCACAATGCACATATACAGCAGATCCATATTTTATCCGCAGGAATACTCACCAGTCATGAAAATTCTGAGGCACTACTCATATAAACTGCTCTGTCAGTGGACCCTGAAGAATTACACTGTGTGAAAAAAGCAAAACATAGCAAGCCATATACTACATGATTGCACTCATGAGAAACAGCCACGTTTTTTTTTTTTTTTTCTAAAATACCATCCATATACATATTGACTAGCTTTTATACTTTCTATTACTGTATATTATATTTCTTTTTTGCTGTGTGGGGCAGGCTGGCTGGTACTTGAAGTCCTTCTGCCTCAACTTCCTACGTGAGAGGTTACAAGTGTATGTGGTACCTGGATGGAAAGTGAAGGGGTGTGTGTGTGTGTGTGTGTGTGTGTGTGTGTGTGTGTGTGTGTGTGTGT